TATTAATTATTATTATTGTTGAGAGAAATGGTAAATGCAATGAACATATCCTTGTGTATTGCAAAATGAAAGATAGGTTCATATACAAAGTAGTGGGCCTAAGCCCATGTAGTCAAACTATATCTAACAATTATAATTCATATAATATTTTAGGTAATAAAAAATTTAATATAAGACCTTAAACATTTTGTTTTCTTAATTTTTTTAACTATTATAAATTTTTATTAGTAAAAATATTTAATGTATAAATTATGTTATGTTTCTATTTTTATATGTATATTATTAATTATTTATATTATACATTATTTAATATATATATAAATTTTAAAAAATAGAATAACGGTATCCCGTTATTTATTATTTAAGGGAGAGGAAGACTTTAATCTTGATGAGGAAGAAGATTAAACTATAATGTTTAATTTTTTACTTAGAGCTTTAGCACTTTGTTTTGAAGATATTTTATATTATGTATTGTTTGAGTACTATGAACTTTTAATTATTAAATTTAATGCATGAATTTAGAGTTATTTTTTGTTTTTTTAGCTTTTATATATATATATATATTATTAATTATTTAATATATATATATAAATTAATATTAAAATAGTGGTTATCTCGCTCCGTGTCATCTCGCTATCCCATTTTTAGGGTCGACCACTCCGCTCCGCTCTGCTATCCGGGATTGACTACTGTGCTTAAAAAAGAGTTGGAATACACCAAGGGCTTATTGAAGGGTCATGAAGAGGAGAGAGTAAAATAAGAGTGCTCAATTATGTCTGATGGTTGGACAGATAGGAAAAATAGAACTTTGATTAACTTTTTGTTAAATAGTTCAATGGGAACAATGTTTGTGAAGGGTGTGGATGCTTCTGAATATACCAAGATCGGTGAGAAGGTGTTTGAACTTTTGAATAGTTTTGTTGAGGAAATTGGAGAAAAAAATGTTGTTTAAGTAATAACAGATAATGGAAGCAATTATGTTATGGCGGGTAAGAATCAATTATATTCTAATTTTATACTCATAGGATTATAAGTTATAACTTCTAATTTTAATTATTTTGTTATTGTGTTTTAGGCAAAATTTTACAAATTGTGAGACCACTTTTATTTTAGACTCCATGTGCTGCTCATTGTCTTGATTTGATGCTAGAAGATATTGGAAAGATCCCTAAAGTTAAAAGGGTAATACAAAGAGGCATCAAGCTCGTGGGTTATATTTATAATCATACCTTGACCCCGAACACCATGAGGAAGTATACAAATAAGGCCGAATTGGTGAGACATGGAGTTACAAGATTTGTTACCACCTTCCTTACTTTGCAACGATTGCATAAGTTAAAGTCAAACCTTAGAAGGATGTTTACTTTCGATGAATGGTTGCAATCAAAAGGAGCCAAAGAAGCTAAGGGGAAGAAAGCAACGGATGTTGTTCTTATGCCTACATTTTGGAGTGATGTTGTTTATGTTTTAAAGGCTATGGGGCCTATTGTACGTGTGTTGAGGTTGGTATATAATGAAAAAAAACTGGCAATGGGTTACATTTATTAAGCAATAGAAAGGGTTAAAGAGGCAATTCAAATTTTTTTTAATCATAATGAAGAAAAATATAAGGATATATTTGCAATTGTTGATAGAAGATGGGATTGTCAACTCCATCATCCGTTGCATGCAGCAGGATATTATCTAAATCCTGAGTTTTATTACAAAAATTCAACAAGAATGGATGCTGATGATGAAGTGGTGGATGGCCTTTTCAAATGTATTGATAGGCTTTGTGAAAATAATGACATTGTAGACAATGTTCACAATCAATTGGCAATATATAAAAGGGCAGGAGGAAGATTTGACATTCCTGCAACAGTTAGAGCAAGGGTTAAAATGGCTCCTGGTAAGTGAGACTTTTCTTAAGCCTTAACTTCACTTACAAATTTTATAGTTATTTGATAATTTATTTATAATATTTGCATTTATAGCTGAGTGGTGGAAGATGTATGGAGGACATACACCACATTTGCAAATTATTGCCATTAAGGTACTAAGCTTGACTTGTAGCTCATCTGGTTGCGAGCGTAATTGGAGTACCTTTTTGAGCATGTAAGTTAACGAATTAATGGATTTAAATTTGAGTTTACTATTGAAAATGGAAAATTAACTAACCGTCATGTTCTTAAATTATTATAAATTCACCCAAAGAAGAGAAGTAAACTTGAGCACCAAAAGCTTCAAGACTTGGTTTTTATTAAATATAATCAAGCTCTTCAAGAACTCTGAGTGTCAAGATCATAGTAGTCAATAGCGGTTGTCGCGGCCGCAATCGCGGTGCGTCGGAGCGGAGCGGCTCCGTGCCGCTTCAAAAAGTTTGTTGCGGAGCGTTTTGAAGGAGCGGTCGGAGCGGCCGCGAAAGCGGCGGAGCGTGGCGGCGCGATCGCGGGTGGGCGACAGAACTTCTCTTCTTTTTCCAGCGGATCTTCGTCGATCTGTCTTCTCCGACAGCAGCGCTGTCTTCTCTGATAGCGGCTCTGTCTTCTTCGACAGCGGCGCTGTCTTCTCCGACAGCGGCGCTGTCTTCTCCGACAGCGGCGCTGTCTTCTCCGATGGTGGCTCTGTCTACTCCAGCATCTACAGTCTTGTCTTCTTCTAAGAGGAGTGGTAACTGGTGACGGCTGCTTGAGTCTCACAATTAGAAGGAAGGTGGAAAAATAATTAGGGTTAGGCCAAATGGGCCAAATGGGCCAAATGGGCCAAGTTTTATTTTATCTTTTGATTTGATTAAGGGCCTTTTACTTCACTATTTTTTTTAGAAAGTAACTTCTCTTTATTATTAATTCAGATAATATTTTAAGTAATAAAAAATTTAATATAAGACTTTAAATATTTTGTTTTCTTAATTTTTTTATTTTGTTTACTTCACTATGAACTTTTAATTATTAAAAATGTTTAATGCATGAATTTAAAGTTATTTTTTGTTTTTTTTAGCTTTTATATATATATATATTATTAATTATTTAATATATATAAATTAATATTAAAATAGCGGTTATCCCGCTCCGCGTCATCCCGCTATCCCAGTTTTAGGGTCGATCGCTCCGCTATCCGGGATTGACTACTATGGTCAAGATGCAATTGATCCAATTGCTTTAAATGAAGTTGATGATAACAATGAATGGATGTTGGGAGAAGAGAATGATGAGGATGATTTTGAAGATGACTTGGGGTTTGATGATGATGTTTTGACTTGGAGAGATGTTGCCCAGGCAAGTGGTGCTGGTGAACCTTGGAAATACACTAGGAGACAAACACAAGTGAACAAGACATCAAGAATTGCATCTACATCTACAAAAGATAAAGGAAAAAAAGTGATGGAAGTACTGGAAGACAAGGATGATGATGAAGTAGAGGAAGAAGAAGAATATAATTCTAATGCTAGTGGGAGTGATGAATTTGAGGGAGAGGAAGAAACATCAGGCAAGAAAGATTGTTGGGCTGCTCAAAACTGAAGGAAATCATGAAAGCTAGAGGCAGAAATAGTGACATTTGTAGGAGAGCCAACACTAGTCACTTGGGCAACGTTGGTAAATGTCGTGGACGAAGCGGAAGCAAGAGTAGCTATGGGAGATAAGGTAGAGAGGGATCAAAACCAAACAGGGCCAAGCAGAGCCAAATAGGGTCGTCAGAGGCAGTCGACTATAGTCGAGGGGTACCCGAAAACAACGTCACATGTAGGTACTATTCCCACGCAGCATTGTTTACGTGTTAAAAAAATTCTAAGCTCTAGATACCATGTTGTGATTTAGGAATTGTGTGTCAATCTTCAACACACAACTCTTATTTATAATAAAAAATAAGGATTTACATGATATGATATGATATGATTCATCCTAACAAATCTCCACAATATCTTAACTGACCCAAATAAAAAATTAATGGTAGAGCAAGGCGCACCATTCCTAGATCTAGAAAGATACAAAACACTAGTTGGGAAGCTCATTTATCTCACTATTACAAAACCTGATATCTCTTTTGTTGTTGGAGTTGAGTCAATTCATGCAAGCTCCTCATATTGATCACTGGAAAGCTGTGATTCACATTCTTAGGTATATTAAAAAAGCTCCAGGACAAGGTTTATTGTATGAAGATAAGGGAAATACCCAAATCTCAAGGTATTGTGATGCTGATCGGACAAGATGTCCCATAGATAGGAGATCAACTACTGGATATTGTATATCCATTAGAGGAAACATTATCTCTTGGAAGAGCAAGAAACAAAATGTTGGGTATAGAGCTATCACCACAACCACTTGTAAGTTGAAATGGATCAAGCAACTTCTCTAAGCTTTAAAGTTTTGTGAAGTGCAGCAAATGAAACTATATTGTGACAACTAGGCAGCTTTTCACATTGTCTCTAATCCGGTGTTCCATGAAATAACTAAACATGTAGAGGTTATCTGTCACTTTATTAGGGAGAAGCTATTATCTAAGGAGACCAGTACTCAATTCATCAGCTCTAATGATCAACTTGCTAACATCCTGACTAAGTCTTTGAGGGGGCCTCAAATTCAGTTTATTTGCTCCAAGCTTAGAGCTTATAATTTATATGCTCCAACTTGAGGGGAGTGTTAGATTAATATATATTTTTTTGTAATATCATATGTCATGTAAAGCTGTTTTTTTTAACTTTTCCCTACTGCTATAGCCTTCTGACTCTGCTAGGATTCAGAATGTAATCCTTCTTTTTGGTCTCATTGTAACTTTGCTCTTGCATATATATATATATATATATATATCCTTGTGCCGAGTGAAGTTGAATTGCTCAAGCATCTACTAAAATCTTCTAAATCTCAAGTGGTGTATTATAATATTTCTTTTATAAATATATTATTATGGATCACATGTAATACTGTTGTCAAATTTTGATATTCGTTTATATGTAATTTTTCTAAATTGTTAATGCTGGCAGTAATTCAGGTTCCTAATTGTATGGCAATGTTTTTGTAATATAGGTTGCTTATCGTATTGAGGCCTTATTGGGATTCTCAAAGTCATTATTCAGTCCTCACTTACTTCCTCAGGTACTTACCATGTGTTTCACTGAAATTCTTTGCACAAGGTGGCACTGGGCTAATATTACAAATATGCTTGTTTGTTCGTGCACATAAAGATGTGTGGTTAAAGCAACAAGTTTTTCTGAATGCTAAAATTCTAGTTGGTTTTTATTCATTTATATCTGCTTGGTTGTTCATAACTACATGTTTGTCACGTCTTTGGCTTGACTGTTTTATTTACACTGCATTTTTTTTGTTGGTAGTTTATGGCTTTATGCACGGAGAACTAGTATTTTGTCTAATAGTGGATCCTCTTGGTTTATTTAGGTTTCACCTTCTGAACCAGTTGAAAATTATATGATACGATTTGATGCGACACGGCCACTACAAGGTACCATAAAGCTGAGGAAAGTGGTTATGCGTTTCTTTGATGAAGCAGTTGTTCCTATTGTAGATGAGTGGGGCAGTTGTACAGGGCTGTTATACCGTGAAGACTGCAAACAGGTATTTTTGGATACTTTGGAATATCTGATTTGTGGGATTACCATTTCAATAAAGTTGTGCATGCAAACTCCTACAATTTTTAATTAACTTATTACTCGAAGTAATTTATATGGAGAGAGAAGCGAATAAGTTTGTGTAAAAGCTGTCGGCCTTTTGCCTTGGCCTGTTGAATATGCCCCTTGAATTATAACATAACTGAAATACTATCTTTGACCCCGTCACTTACATTTTCAACTTAGGAAAATGAATTTTCAAAGCTGCTTGAAAATGTAAACATTAATTAGTTTCCATTAATCACTATTTGAAGAAGCCACATTCCTCTAACTTAGGAAAATGAATTTTCAAAGCTGCTTGAAAATGTAATCATTAATTAGTTTCCATTAATCACTATTTGAAGAAGCCACATTCCTCTCGCATATATAAGGAGACTTGTGAAGAGTTGAAGCATCTATCCAACAAGCAAGTTCATCTCCAAGAGTAATAGAATAAAAGTGAATTTTAATCATCCTTTTGAAGAGCTAAAAAGAGATTTATATTTCCACCATACTTGTGACAATTGAGAGATATTGTAAACTATCTTAGTTGGGTGAGATCGAGAAAATTCCTCGTTTGAAGAGTCCTTGTAATTCTACTCTTTTTTGGTCCATGGACATAGTCCACATTATCTCAAAGTTGACAACCAAGGACTAATTTGCACTTACAGAATTGACTTTTGTTGGTCAAACATTATTTTAACATAGACAAGAATCAAATATGGAAGTACTAAGTCGTCCCTCCATGTTCCAGAGTAGGCCTTACAATTATTGGACCAAGAGACTTGGTTAGTCCTTGTAATCCTACTTTTAACAGAAGGGATAACTTTATTGGAGTAGATTCCATGGCTTATCCCTTTTACAATGAGAAGGTTTCCAGAACTTGTTGAAGGAAGAAGCCAAAATGAAGGAACAAGTGATGGTTACCCAACTTGAAGCTAACATTGTAGAAAATCATGGCCGAAGTGACAAATTTCAATGATGGTCTAAATCTTGTACCTATAAGACCCACCTGTTACTGCTATGGAAATCACAAGAAATCTAAGTGTTGTATCTCAAGGGAGATCATAAGGTTGACATTATCAAGACAAACCAAATTGATTTGAATAATAAAAAAGATAAAAGAAACCATAGTAGCAGATTAAGATGATATGCATTCCTTATTGGAGAAGACAACTAGCCTCAATGTTGCTTTTTTGAAGATTGCTCATGGATTGTTTGACTTAGGTGCTTCCCTTCACATTAGCCAATATGGAGGCTTTTTCTTAGCCTACCAAAGCAGTGATTTTGGGACAGTGAAAAAAAGGATTGTAGTATTGGTGATATCACTTGAATGACTGACATGAGGCATAAACTCATAAGGGAAGAGGTAAAGACATGTACTAGATGCGCACCTCAATCTTATCTTAGTTGGGAAGCTTAACAATGTTGAGCTAGTGAATCACTTTGGTGTTGACAAACGGAAACTCAAAAGACTATGGTCATTGCTTGAGGGAAGAAAGAAGACACACTATATGTCATGTAGGAAATAATATGCAAAAGGGTGGTCAACATTGCCTTTGGTGGCTTAGTATGGAACTATGACATAGATTACTTGGCCATATGAGTGAGAAGGGATTGCATATCGTTGTTAAGAAAGACCATTTATTTGGTATAAAAGGTCAATTGCCTGAATCTTGCACATATTGTATGGCTAGAAAACAATGTAAAGTATTATTTGAAAAATTACACAAAAGATCAAGTATAGGTGTATATGAAACACAAATACTTTAATTTGCTTTACGTATTCGTATCCGTATCCGATGCTTCATCAATATGTACGGGTAAAGTATCCAATCCTCTAAAAATATTATGAAAATCTTATTCAATTTCAATACTCTTGGATATTTCATTGATACTTCAATGATAAATAACGGTGAAGTATCCAAATCTTTAAAAAATTATGAACCATTGCAACTAAATAAGACATGTAAACTTATTTAACATAGAAACATAGAAACATTGTCCCTTGATAACTAAAAATAGAAATTGTCTTTTTTATGGACGATTTTAAGAAAGAAATGAGATTGATAGTATTATTTCCATTTGTAAATAATCGGAAGCAATTTATGATGAAATGATTTATAATTTCTTTCTGTAATGTATAAGAAGTACTTTTTAATTTAGATTTGCAAAATTTCAATTATATATTTAAAGTTTGTTTGGGTACAAGCTTAAAATCACTTTTGAGAGTTTCTCTATTGAAAAGTACCCTATCCAAATAGGTTCTATTATGTTTATAAATTTTGATCAAAATTACAACCACACATTTATTATATTTTATGAATATTGAAGACACATCTTACACATAGCGTATCCTATATATTTTAAAATAATTGTATCGCTGTATTAGATTCGTATGCGTTCGATACACCTACCATATTTGTGTATAATATGTGTTGATCTTGAATACCACCCAATGATAGAGCATGTCATCGGGAGAAAATTGAAATGCCTAAGAGCTGATAATGGTGAAGAATACCATGGTTCTTTTGAAGCATATTGTAGGACCCATGAATTAAACTTGAGAAGACACCAGCAAAGACACCATAACTGAATGAAGTTGCTGAAAGAATGAAGCAAACCATTGTAGAGAAAGTTTGATGCATGCTATCTCATGCCAAACCCCCTAAACCATTATGGATTGAAGTTGTGAAGATTGTTGTAGATGTGATCAACTTGTCACCGACAGGACCTTTGGGTGGTGGTATCCCAAAGGAGGTTTGATTGGGAAAGAAGGCATCATACAATCGCTTGAAGGTATTTGGATGTCAAGCATTTCTCCACATTCCTAAGGATGAATAAAGCAAGCGAAGCTTGACTAGAAGTCCAAGGAGTGTATATATCTCACCCAAAGATGAATTTGAATATCAACTGTGACCCCATGAACAAAAATATTGTTAGAAACAAAAATTGTGTTCCGTAAGGATTAGACAATTGAAGATGCTAAGCATTGAGGAAAACCTATTTCCTGGGCTAACACTAATTTTAATCATGCCTAATTCCTTCTGCTCCATGATGATTTAAGGGGAAAGAATCCACATATGATCCTACCTAGCTAGACGATAATGCAGCCTGGTCTAATGCTAGAACCTGATCCAACAATACAAAGTCGAACGATGCATCCATTGTGGTCAATTAAAGAGCTAGGGATACTGGCTACATATGAACCCAAATAAGACGATCCATAAAAAGCAAACAACCATCAAGATACTTTTCAGATGAATTTGTAAGCCTTATTGATGAAGGGGAGTCTGAAAGCTTCAATAAAGTTGTTGATTCAAATGATAAAGAAAGATGGATGCAAGCAATGAAAGAATAAATGCAATCCTGTAGGAGAATCAAACATATGACTCGGTGAGATTGCCAAATGGAAGAAATATGCCGAAAAAAGGGAGGGATTCAAGCTCAAAACCGAAGAAAACAACCCAAATCTTACATTGATAATCATTTAACATGTGGATTTGGCTCTTCTATAGTGAAGAGATTTCACTTTAGAGGAGAAAGTGTAATAATAACAGTTGATTAAAAAATTGACGATGAATATTATAATTAATTTTAGATTTTACTATACATGTACTTGATTTTATCATGATTATCAATTGTTGATTTTTAAACAATAATTGTGAGTGCACTTTATCTCATAAAGTATACTCCTTTACTTTAGAGGAACTAATTCCTTAATATGCAAGGTTGCATAAAATATCATTAAAACAATACTTTCTATTTTTTGTTGTTTTAAAATTTTACATGTTGGATAATAATCACTTCAGAAATTCATAATTTTGATAATCATTTAATATGTAAGGTACATGTACGACAATTTATATGTAGAGTTGGTTAAAAAAAAGCAAATCAAATTTCAGAATTTTGGAGACGCTTACATACAAGTTTTACACATTGAAGCAGATTTACTTAGTTTAGAAGAGTAATTTTGATTAGACTAATATCAAGGAAACTAAACATATTTGCAAACCATGTATACGTAAAAACACAAACAGAAGATTACTATATCATAAGCCAAGATGTTTAAGCCATAAAATTACTTTTTAAAGTTGAAAAAATTTATATTGTTTAACCCATTTATGTTTCTCTTGATTATAAAAGAAATAACTTGTATGTAACGAGGGATTTATTAAATAAGGTTGTAATATTGAGTAAATTTTTGAAAAAATCTTTCATCCTCATGAATTTTGGATTTAATAATCCTAATAAAATAAAATAGCATTGCATCAGCAGTTATGCACATTTTGTGCAGAACTATTACAGATTCCTGAAGGAAATTCAATCAGAGACAAGATAGTGACGACACAAAAAGTTACCCATTAGCTTTGGAGAGTAATCTGGATACATAGATTATGGTAACCCACACAAAAAGTTACATAGGTTAAATAAAAATAATTGGGGAATTTTTATTACCAGAACAGTTGCCAACCATCAAGTCATCTTGTATAGACGGTTTCAACTCTCGATTCATGCTTACACTCATATCCTCCCAATCCTTTTTGCTGGTTCAGTGATTTTGTTTTACATATTAAATAAAAGAATTAAAAATTTTAATATTGCTCCGCCTATTTTTGCATGTCTAACATGGACACCATACAAATCGAATCATACTTGTACATTACCATTAAGGGAGTTTAGTTTAGTTGGTTGAGTAATGTATGTGAATTGTTCTAATCTCTTGATATTAAGTCTGATTTCTACGGATAAAAAAAAGAAAAACTTGTACATTACATCTGATTTCAGTTCGCGGCTGCTTCTATTTGATTATTCGATGAATTTACAATGCAGTTGGATGCTCAAGTTTCAACAATGATGAGAAGTCCTCCTCCCAGTGTTACGACTTCAACATCCGTTGGCCATGTAGTTGATTTAATTTTAGAGAAGCGATACCCAATGATTATCATTGTAAATTACTCAAATTCATATGCTACTGCTCCATACAGCTCTAGAGCAGTTGGAGTTTTTACACTAAAACAATTGAGTAGCCTTATCACTCCTGTATCTCGAGTAAAAGGGACAGACCTTTCAGTCTACAACATAAGGTAAATATATCATGTTTAGCTTTACCAAAATGTCAATTTCGGTGCTTCTCTGTAGAGAAAGTTTTCTAGCGGTGTTTAAATGAGTTTTTCTGTTTGGATAAATTTTTCTATAAGTTCTTTTGAAAAAAAAATATATGAAAGAATAATGAAATAAGTTTTTCCAAGTTAAAACTAGTTTATGTATTAGTTTATTTGTAATTTTTTTGAAGAAGTTATATGAGAGTTTTTAAAAATTAATTTATGCATAAGTTAATTTTTGTTTATGAAAAAATATATTTCAATCTTTTTTCACATTTTTTTTCAAGAAGTGTTTATGAAGAAGTATAAGCTAATTTTAGCTAATGGAAAAGTATATTTCATTTTTCTTTCCTATGTTTTCTTCTTGTAAATATTTCTGAAGAAACTTATTCAAATATATCTATAGTACTACTACATAATACATATTGTATGAACTGCAAATGCCTCTAATGTGTTTGCCCATGGTGGCTGCGTATGGTTTATGTGAAGGTTTTGTTTTTTTTTTTTTTTTTTTTTTTAATTTTTTTTAATTTGAAGCGAGTAAATCGGATTCATGCTTGCAGTAATCTCAGTTTATATGCATTTTTTTAATAGGCAATAGAGTGTTCGATTTCAGATAAACTAAAATCTCGTAATAGGATTGCTTTTTCCTATTTATGTATACCATTTGCAATGAATACTGAGTCTTCATTTTGTTGAAATATGCAACTAAGAAAGTTGATAGTGTGTTTGGATGAGAAATTTTACAAATTCAAGGAATTTTAAATTCTTGGTATTTGAATTACTTTGATTTCAATTTCTATCATTCTTAAAATATTTTGTTTGGATGAGTCAATTTAAATTTCTTAAATTTTAAATTGTTAGATTGAATATGATAATTTTATTCCATCATAGTAAAATTGATTTTAAAAATATATTTATATGTTGAGATTTTTAAATTAAATTTTATAAAAATAAATATTAATCCATTTTTAAATATTTAATAATTTTAAAAATTAATATTAGATAATGTTTAATAATTTTAAAAATATTTTTGAATATCCAAAATAATTAAAAGAATGAATAGATAAGATAAAATATATAAGTGAAATAAGAAAAATAAATATGAGGAATTTCAAATTCTCCCATTTTAAAATATGAGGAATTTTAAGAATGATAGAAATTGAAATCAAAGTAATTCAAATACCAAGAATTTAAAATTCCTTGAATTTGTAAAATTTTTCATCCAAACACATTATTAAGGAATTTCACAAATGCTTGAATTTCAAATTCTTTGTAAATTCCTCATCCAAACAAAGCATTTCACCTCAAGGAATTTGAAATTCTTCAAATAAATGAATTACCCTATATAAATTCTTCATCCAAACACACTATTTTAAGGTTCCTATGAAGAAATTGAGCTGTATAAATATATATAATTGGAACAGACTGGGTCCAAAAATTGCTTGACGTTCTAAAGTTGTTTTTAATAAATTAATAATTTCGTTCAGTTACTATTTTAATTAGTTTTAGGCTTTTATTTATTTTTCCTTTTCAGTAAATAGGTTTGGTTTGGACGAAAAAAAAGCTTTAATGTACTTTTGATTAGAGGCATATGATTTTATTTTGGCTTGATTGCTTTTTATTCCACGAATGAGGGAAATCTGTTTAATTCTTCAAATTTTTTGGTAGAAAAAAATATTCTTTGAATTTTTTTTCTCTACCAAAAAAATTTAAATTCTTCAAATTTATAATTAATCTGTAGTTGTAATTTAAAAAAAAGTTTGTTTTAATTTCTTATGATCAGTTCAAGCAACATTAATAGAAGAGTCTATTTGTATACCTACTTATTATAAAGGGATTGTATGTACCAATTTTTAGTTTTCACTTTTTTAATAGATTGTTATACTTCTCAAATATTAAAAAAGAAAGAAAAATAATTTTTTATATTCTCTCTGAATAATTATTCGTAATCATTTATTTTGTTATTTTGTTATTTTTTTTATTTTTAATTTTAAGAATTAAGAAACACGAGGTACTTCTTTTCTCTACTAGTATTAAATAAGTTGTGAAGCATTCTTTTGAATTTGATGTTAGGTTTTCACCTAAAATAGACATTAATAAGTGTCTTATGTGGTAAATTCACAACGTCTGAATAGAGAATGAAATATGGATTTTACAAATTATATGATTAAAAAATTAATTATATATATATATATATATATATATTTTGTGTGTGCGAAAATATTATATCTTAATTATTAGTTATGTATTTTAATATAACACAAAATATATCTTTTTAGTGGAAAGATGTCACAATTATCTTATTTCATGCTATTTTATTTTATTCTCATATCTTATCATCTTTTGATCAAAAAATAAGCTATAAACATCAAATACAATAGGATGAATATAATATTTTACTAATATTTTTAAGGATAAAACTTACACGTAGTATTATAGGTAAAATTATTGAATTAAAATTTTAATTTTAATTAAAAAACAACACTAACAATACTTATATTATTACATGTAAGTTTTATCCATTTATTAATAGAAAAATAGGAAAAATCATTTCGAAGAAATGTGGAAACTTTATTAGCCTCTGTTTTCAGAGTATAAATTTTAACAAAGGCTAGGAAAAATAGAGGAAAAAATTGTACAAATATACACAATATTCTTAAGACGAAGAATAAAAGGAAGAGAGATATGAAATTGACCAAAATAACATACATGTTATAATGGTTTCAATTATGGGTGGGGGACGATTGTCCAAGGTTTCAATGTCGGAAGATACCAAATAAAAAATTTATTTAGTTTATATGATATAAAAAATTATGCAATTAAATCATTAAAAATTTATTAGAGACAGTAAAATAATTATCGACAATTAATTAAAAATTATTTTTTTCACCGGTCAACAAAAAACTATCAGTAATTTTAGAAAAATAAATACGTAATATTAGATGTAGAAAGGAAAATGTGATATATTATTGATTTTTAATTTTTTTTTTTACTTTCTTATGTGAACTTCTATAAGTTTTAATATAAAATAATAAATATGAGTTGTTTTTAATTTTTTCTCTTTATTTGTAATTTATTTTATTTTCTTTCTATATTTTAAATCATGAGCTATGTTACTTCAATACAATCTTGAAATCAAATTATGAATCTTCACCTATTCGTTACAAATTTCTTTGCAACTATAATTAATCTTTTTTTTTTTTTGTTGCATAATGGTCTTTAATGATAACTCATAGTCTCTTATATATGTACTGTATCTTTAGTTATTTTTTGCGCAATTGTGCTTAAGTGTTAATATATTTATACCTTTAGATTTGAGAATTGAGAAATATTTATGAGGATATTATTTTTTTACTTAGCTTAAGAGAGCAAAAAATACTCTGGCTTTGTCAATTATATATGTCAGTTCATTGAAATCTAGTAAACAAATCATCCAAATTTGAAGGCAACACCTTCTCAATTTTTGTAAGAGAAACTTGTGTACACATAAGAATAACTTCTTTACCTATATTGTTCTTATTATGGTTTCTTTTTCTTCTTCTATTGTTCTTCCCTTTAGATGCATAAAGTGTGTTTTTCATGTGAAATGCATGTAACATGTTTCATCTTGATGTGGTTTGATAATCGATGACAGTTTGAAATGCTCCAGCCAGTGCCATCACCTTGTTCTTTCTTGTCTCCAAAAGCTTGCCTCTAGTTTCTTCAATCATATCATTAGATAGAGACTCTTTATTCTTTTGTTTCCTTTCTCCTAATTGTTGTTTTGATGGTGTTGCTTTAACCTTGGCCTCTTCTACTCCTTCAAATGCTTCCTTTTCTTCCTCCATTGCCTCTTTTTCATTGTTTTTCTCACTTTTGTGATCTTCTATTATGATTACCTCATCTTCATCTTTAACAACAAATCCTTCTTTAGTTGTAAAATGCTTATGTTGGTGATCACTTTCACTGATGTTTCTTCCTTCATCTTGGTTTATTTTATCATCCTCTAATTCATGTTCATAGTCTTTTGCTTTCTCTTCTAATGGCCCATTTTCTATTTCCTCTGCTTCTGACACTATAGAAATGATTCTCTCATCATCAACTTGGTTTTGGAATGGATCAGAGTTATCAACCCCAAGAACATGTTCAATATCATGTTCAGAGTCAACATTAGGTGAAATATCAGTCACATGTTCAGCCTGATGTACTTTGCGTTCTTTATTCTCCACCTTTATGACTTCAACTTCTTGAGTTGCAACTTCCTTAACTTGCTCAGTTTCAACATTTAATGTTTTTTTAATTTCTTTAGCAGATTTGTTTGTTGAGTTAACAGAAACATGATCCGTATTAGATTTTTTCTTAGCGCTTAAAGTAGTAGTAGTAGTAAGGGAAATTTTCTTGGTGCTCTTTATGACTAGTGGCCTAGTTTTTCTAATACTAGGAATCTTTGAGGTTGTATCTGAAATGGGTTTGGAAGGGTTTGTGTTTCTAGTAACTAGACCAATCGAAGATCTACGTGGTGTAGATCTCTCTCTTGAACCAGTAGACACAAGGGCATCATGTAATGTTGAGTTTGAGGGTTGTATTTGTTTTGTCAAGGTTGAAGAGGAAAGTGGTTTGTCCAAAGATCTTCTCTTGTTAAGAGAAGGCTTATTGTTGGGAGAGTCACTCTTAATTTGTTTTGAAGAGGGGGAATCAAGTTGTGAGGTTAGTGTGGGCTTGAGATAGTTGGGGATATTTTTCTTTGATGAGGTTGAGTTAGGCTTGTTAGTAGAGTTAGTAGTTGTGGATGGTTTGATGATCCTTTTAGTGGTTGTAATGTGAGAATTTGAAGATGGGCCCTTTTTCTCCTTCCCAACAAAATTACTTCCTTTTGCTTTTGTTGCCATATATATTATGGTGTCTCTCAACTAAGAAATTGTTGAAAGAACCTGCACACTGTCAAAAGCAATATGTAAGCTAATATGTTGTTGGCTAACTAATCTATCTTTCTACTCCTCAAAATTGCAAGTATTCATCACTTTAATTCCTAATTTTGCTAAAGACAAAACTTATAATACAATATCATGTAATTTTTTGATTAGAATTAAAATTTCACTTCAATAATATGTACTTAATGGTAACTTCACATATTATTTAGATGAAATTTCAATTATAATTGAAAAATAATGCTGATAATACTAATGGTATGGGATCTAAACTTTGTCCTTTTAATAACTCAAAAAACTAAATAAGGTAATATGGTATTTACGTTAATTTAAAATTAAAGTAACACCATTTTAAGGACTGAAATGCAATTTACTTGCATATCATTTATAGTTTATTTACTGTGTAACTCGTTTTTCAAGAGGCAAATCCTATCACACAATAATTCAAGATACGTTCAACAGTGCATTGGAGAAATAGGTACCTTATTGCATTATTTTAGTTTCATTTTAATTTATTTTCATATGTAAGACCCACGTCCCTTTTAGTTCTTGTATGAAACTGTCACGAATATATATGTACCCAAAAATGAAAAGGAAATTAAGATAAATTCATTCAACTTTATGTTTAAAATACAAGCCTATATCCCCATATATTTGAATGAGTTGTAAGGAGAAAAGGTAATATGCCTAAAGAAAACTTAAAGACCGACAAAAGAAAGAAGCACAATCAAATAATTATGATCATCACCTATAAATCCTTTTTAAAAACCAAAAAATGATGTTCCTTTGTTATGCAAAGATTAATGGAAAGAGAAAATCAACCAAGAGACATGCGACACAATGATAAGTGCTTCCACTTCTTTCGAAGGTTTGGGAGAAAATGATTCCGGAGTTTGATACAAATTAAACTTTAAAAAATATGAAAGAAGAAAAAGGAAGTGGAAATTTACAAAATCAAAAGGAAAAAAAAATAGATAACGTACCTTGAAAGAAGAAAGTTCATGGAAGAGTGAACTTGTGGGCACAAAGCAAAGAAAAATTGCTTTGGAAGGAGAAAATGTATGAGAAAGCAGATGAAGGGGAATTTTTTTTTTTATTTTTAAAAAAGGATTAGAAGAGAAAAATAAAAAATAAAAGAAGGGCTTAGAAATAAGATCATAAAAGAAGCGAAAATTACGCACAACTGAGTGGAGCTGTATTGCAAGCCATGGAATCAAAACAAATCTTTTGTTTATTTTTATCAAAAAATCAAACGAGTTGTGAATGACCGAAATACAAGGGATGAACATTGACCTTTTCCTCTTCAATTCTACACATTAAAAATTTATCAAAAAATTATATATTTAAAAGCATCATTTCATTTTTATTATTGATTCTCTAGATATTCTTTGTAATTAACGTTTGTTTATATAAATGGTCATTGGTCGGCCAATCTTGGGCTAAGCCCAATTGAAAAATTATGCAACATGAGCATGAGTTATTTCATTAGGAAAAAGGTTTATGTAAGATTTATTTATTTATTTATTTTTATAAAAAGGTATAATTTCTTTCTATCAAGTTAGTCTCAATAAGAGTACAGTAAAGTGATATTTGTAATTGTGACATCATATTCAAAGGGATGATTGATCTTATTCCTTAACTTATCTAAAATATTATATTACAAATACCATCCACAATGTTAAAAAAAAAAATACTTGTACTCATATTTAATATTTTAATATTATTTAAAGAACTTTTATTTTCTAGGTAAGAAATATAATACATATATTATTTAAATATGGATAGATTTGATTATTACAGTATTTTTACTTGAACTTAGACTCACAAAATTTCATAGATTATTTATAAAGGTTTCTTTTTTACACTTCTTTTTCCCCCTAAATACACCACCCACGGTTTCACTTCTTTGGATGTCTGTAAGCATCAAAAGTCGGTCAAAACTCTTTTAGAAATAAATTTTTAAAACATTTTTACATTAATTTTAAATTTATGAAATGAAATATTAAATAATTTTTAAATTTTTTAAAAATTTATAAATTTGATCTATGCATTAAAAACTTTAAATTCAACAGTTAAATCATTAAAATTTAATATAAAATTTGAGTTATTAAATAAAATAAGTCTAAATAAACTTACTCTTGGAATAAAAGAATTCCTCCTCGTATATATATATATATATTACAATTTCAATATTTCAATGTTTCAATGCCTAAGAAACATTATCTATATTTTAATATTTTTTACTTTTATCCTGATAAGAAAAATATTCAACAAGGCACTGCCATCACGATGCAATAATCACCATCCACTACTTCTCGTAAACACCAACAAATCCACCAATCAAATGCCCCCTACCTAAGATCTCACACAGCTAACAAGATGTCTTTCAAAAAATTTATTTGGTGCCCACGAAAAAAAAAGTGGATTTTACTGTCTAACTTAAGTGTCATGTTTAGAGTTTTTGGTTGGAGATGTTGGGTTTTATGGTGTTTACTATTAAGACTATGTCTTACAATGAGTTCCCTCTTGGTCTTGCTGGTGTAAATCTGGCATCAAAAGACCCCTCACCATGGGAGGCGACCCTCGTCTTGAGAAAAGTCATAAAACATTTTTTATATATATATATTTAAAATAATTTGTACAATAAAAAACTAATTAAGTCATTTGAAATACTACCTCATCAATGAGATACTTTGGTAACTGTTTCATGTTAGATGTAAACAACTAGCTGTATCAAAACAACTTCTACCAAAATTTGTGATCACTAGCATGGTCCAACTTTCTGCTCATCTTTTGGCTTAATCTTGTCCTACTCCCATGATAATATGTTCATCATAGTTCAACAACATTGAAAAGTAAAGATAAACTTGTATGAAAAAAATAATATATAATATAGAAGTCGTTAGCTATCTATATAAACAACTTTGCAACATTCAATGTAATAACTATAGTCATGCTTAACTTTAACAACACAGGAACAACACACATAATCATTCATAAGAATTACCAACCTTACAACAACTCAAAAAGATAACAACATATCATTTCAACAACTTAACAACACAACAACATAACATATATGTGCGTGTGCGTGTGTGTGGAGAAAAAATAGACACTAGAAGAGGAGGTTAAATAATGTATATAAAAAACTCGCATATTTTCAAGCATATGAAGTATTATCTACAACAGACGAATGGTCAATAAGAGTAATCAATAAACACAATATGTTTATACTAGTTCATCTCAACTATTGAGACTACTTCTAGTTCTCAGTCCAACTAGATTGAGTTCCACTAACTTTCAATTACAAGTATTCTTTTATCAAGTCACTTTTGGTTCAAGCAAGTATTTTTTGATTGGCCTCTTCAAGCCACTACTAAAGTATTCTTTTATAGACAAACTTCTCCAAGCTCAAACCCAAGTATTCTTTTACAAACAAACCTCTCCAGGCTTCAACTCAAGTATTCTTTTACAGTTAAGCCTTTCCAAGCTCAATTCTAAATATTCTTTTACAATCAAGTCTTTCTATGCTCAAACCCAAGTATTCTTTTATAGTCAAGTCTCTCTAAACTTAAACTCAAGTATTCTTTTACATTAAAGCATTTTCAGGCTCTACCTTATAACAAAGGTTATAAAGGTATTACAAGGTTGCAGTTGTCGTCTTTTTTAAACGTGATTACAACAAATTATTTTAGTACAAAAAATCTCTTGAAAAATATTTTCTAAGAGATGTGTATTTTTCTATTTTTACACTTTTGTGTATATACATCAATGTTCTATCTTCACTTGAGCTCTAGAGCTTTTTATATAGTAGGTTTGAAAGAGATAATCGTTGCAATTTTTACGACTTTTATGAATAAATTAATGCTGCTATTATTATTGATGTTGTTTCTAGACGAGGTTATTTTCTATACAAATATATTATTTTTTTTACTATGGCAAATTGTTTAGAGACATTTTGAATCCAATTTCATTGCATTAAATTTTGAGCATTTTGGTCATTTTGTTTTGAAATTGTGTAATTGGTCATAATTTTGTATACTTTTCCATAATCCACATTGCGATGTTATTGTTTGGTATATCTAATGTCAATATTCTTGTCAGAGTATGATTTCCTATATTACTTAGGAACTTGTGATCTCATTTTGGACTAATTGTTTGAAGTATTTTCTCAATTTGACATTTTTGGTGTGACCATATATTGTAAATTAATTTGAGGTACAATTTAATCTGACTTATGTTGTCAAAGTGGAAGATTTTTTTTATTAATTTGATATTCTTGTCGGAGTCCCCATCATTGGTTGCTGATATTAACTCTACGTTAATTTCTTTGATCTCAAAGGTGGAGCATGTTACGCATCTGAAGCACATAAGAACTATAGGGCTTTGTAATGTGTCTTATAAGATACTTACCAAACTTTTATCTCACAGGCTTAGAGAAGTTATGGAGAAGCTAGCCCACCCTAATCAATGTAGTTTTATGCCTCACAGGAACAAGGATAATATTATCATTTTTCAGGAGGTCATACACTCAATGCGTCTTAGGATTGGAAGGAAAGGTTGGATGGCTATCAAGATTGATCTTGAGAAGGCATATGATAGGTTGAAATGGAGCTTTGTGAAAGACACCCTTAGTGATATTGACCTGCCTCAGAGTTTCATAGATTTGGTATGGGCTTGTATTTCAACTTTGAGTCTCCGAATGCTTTGGAATGGGGATTCTCTAGAGGAGTTTAAACCTTCTTGTGGCCTTAGGCAATGTGACCCATATCACCTTACTTATTTGTCCTTTGTATGGAACGTCTATTTCAATTGACTAATGTGAAAATAATTGATAAAAGCTGGAAACCTATTAAGCTCTCGAAGGATGGTCCTGCTATCTCTCATCTAGCATTTGTGATGATCTTGTTTTGTTCTTTGAAGCTTCTTTGGATAAGGCGGAAGTGATCCAATCTTGTCTGAATGCCTTTTGTGTAAGTTCTGGTCAACGTCTAAGCCTAGAGAAGTCTCGTGTTTTCTTTTCAAAAAATATGGATTTCTCTATTAAGTCTTCCATTAGCTCAAGGCTTAGTTTTCAACAAACTGAGGATTTGGGTAAGTATCTAGGAATTCCTACTCATCATTCTCGGGTTAATAGGGCTTCTTACCAAGGTATCATTGACAAACTTCATCAACGGCTAAGTGGATGGAAGGCCAAAAACCTTTCATTCGCAGGGAGGTTTACATTGACGAAGTCAGTGCTTGCTGCTCTCTCATATTATACCATGCAAACAGTGCATCTCCTGCGTTTGTTATGTGATGAGATTGACCGCATTTGTCGTGGTTTTTTGTGGGGTGATGGTGTGGATTAGAGGAGGCACCATGCCATTGGTTGGCAAACTTTATGTTACCCAAAGGAGAATGGTGGGCTTGGATTGAGACAAATGCGTGATGTTAATACTTGGTTCGTGATGAAAATTAAAATTGCTAGAGTTTGATAACTGAGCCTCACAAACTCTGGGTGAGGGTCGCTAAAGCTAAATATAAGTGTTCAAATGAGACTATTCCAAAGGTTGGTAGAAGACCTAATATGTGAAACTTGTAGCAAGGTGTATGTGATGTGCTTGGGAGTTGGTAATGGCAGGATGTTGAAGTTTTGGTACGATAGTTGGCTACCTAATAGTTCTCCCCTTATTCAGCAGCCTTTAACTTATATACCTCTAGTCGAATTATTTAAGTCAGTAAGGGACTATGTAAATGCGCAGGGAGGGTTTGGAACCTCATGATTTATGGGAATCTATTTCTTGCCATCCAGCTCCCCCTGATGATGCTGGTTGGTAGGAACTTGGGGCAGAAGGTATTAGTAGAATCTGATTCCACTACAGCGGTTACACTTGTGAACCAAGGTTGCTCAAAGTCCCATCCATACTTTGACCTTATTTAAAAGATAAGGGAGCTGAGCTCTAAGCTATTACTTTTTTCATGTTCTCACATCCTTAGAGAGGGTAACTTACTAGCTGATTCTTTTGCTAAGTGTTTAGAATTTTTTGAGTCCTATGTAACTGTTTTTGAGTCTTGTGTAACTATTTTTGAGTCCTCGAATTCACCAAACAAAAAAAAACA